TTCACAGGTGTGTGGCATCATTCATAGCTCAGGCAAGTGAGCCATCTAGCTTATTATCATGTGCATGTGTACACATGTGGATGCTTCTGTTATGGGATCTGGACACGGGTAATTCAGATCATCAAGAGTCTAAGCAATCGCCTTGACCCTCACTGGCTCTTCAATGCCATTTATATGCAAAATTTTCCATATGGTTTTAAAAGAGAAACTACTAGGATCAATTTACAAGACTTGTGATATGTAATGAAGACTATATGAAAATTCAATTTCATTTCTCTGTAATGACTTTAGACCATCTCAATGTAAAAGTGAAATAACAATTCCATTCCAAATTATTCAAAGCTAATAAAACATTAGAAACACATGAACAGAAATGTTTGTGACCAACCCATACAAAACTAAAACCTGTGGGTGTGAGTCTTGAGATAAATCTGGACCTATGGGGAAATTCCCTGTTTACTGTACAGAATACTCAATATTCAAACATGAATCTTCTCATTAATAAAGTCTATGAATTCAAACTTAATCACTATAAAAATTCTATCATGCTTTTTTTTTAAGTAGTAATTGAGAAGTTGATCTCAAAATTTGTATGGAAACGTGGAGGACTTAGAATATCATAAAGTGTATGAAAAATGAAGAACAAATTTAGATGATTCATATCATCTAGTTTCAAATTTTATTATTATGAAGCTACAAAATCAAGGCCATGTGATATTGACTTAAAGACAGATCTATTTTATTGATACTTACAATTCAATAGAATAGAAATAAATCATAAAATTATAGTCAACAAATTTCTAACAATATTTTCCAGGCAATTCTAATTAAGTATAGTTTTGGTTTGTTTTTTTGTTTTTCTGTTTGTTTCTTTGTTTTTAACGAGTGGTAGCAGTTGTGCATTTTACTAAAATAAAAATACATAGGCCTCGGTCATACCCCAAACTAAAAATTATTTCAAAATGGATCTATGACAGGACTAAAACTATATCCATTTCCAGAAGGAATTATTGCAGAGAACTCTGAATCTTAGCATAGGCAAACATTTTTATGTACGACATCCAAAGAAAGATGCGTTAAAACCTCACTAATTAGAATTTTATCGCAATTTAAAATTTAGAAAATATCACAGAAAACAAAAAGCCAGATATTCTGAAAGCAGATTAAAACATGGTATGAGTCCTATCTGGAATAAAAGCTTCTATTACTCAATGATAATAAGGCAGGCCAATTTTAAAAGAGGAACATGTTTGCTAAGTGTTTCATCAAGCAGACAAATGAATGGTCAATAAATATGTTATAGCAAGGGCAGTATTAAAATCCATGTGTAAAATGATAATTAAAGCCAACGAGATGTCACCATAGCGCATGCTACTAAAACGCCTATACTAAAAGCATAGTTTTGACGAGAGGGAGTAATTGGTCTATTTCTGCACTGCTAGGAGGTGTGTAAAGTGGCTCAGTAACTTTATACAAGATTGAAGAAATAGACAATATCATTACTATGTATCTGACCAAGTAAATGATAATGTTATCTATAAAAAGATCTACACAGTGATATTTGGAGAGTCATTATTTATAATAGATTTAAACAGGAAATTATCAAATGAGCATTAACTGCTCAATAAATCAAGAAGAGAAAGATATAGCCACACAATAGGATACAAATAAAAATGGATGAAATTTTCACAATAGAATGAAAATAAAAATGAAGAGACTGCAGAAATATAGCTATGCTTATGAAACCTTAGCAGAAGCCACTGGAAAAACCTCTGTTAGTGCATGTCCCCAAGTATCTGAAATTTCTAGAAAAGACACAGCTTTAAAAGCCAGAAAGACTGCAGGGTACAGATAGGTCAAAGTTGATTTTGCTCCCAGTGGGAAGGGGTGTTGACTGCTTTTGGATAAATGGACTTTATAAATTAATGGGAGTATTCTAAAGCTGGAGTAAACAGTGTCACATAATTGTACATATTTATTAAAATGAATCAAATTGTACATTTACCATAAGTAATATGTTATTAATATTATTAAAATAATGTTTATTTTGTTTAGTCTAAAATGGCCAGTTTTACCTTTAGTTGTTGATACTAACAACACTATACTTGAAATAATATCTAAAAATATAAATATTTTCATACTTTATTTGCATCTTTTTTGGAACAAAATCAAAATAACTTTGTGTAATTTTGTTTTTTTTTTATTTGTTTTCACCTGCAATATCCATAGTTTCCCTGGGAATTTAAATAAAATCATTTGGTTTTCCTTCTCAAATACATGATTACTAAATGTCAAAACATAATCTGATAATAAAATACACCTTCTGGAAACATCTATAAAGATTTTCCCTCTAATAACTAGAATTATTTTGAAATTATCACTGGTGAAATTATTTCACTTATTTATACTCATCAATAATTAAATTTCAAAGGAAATAAGATCCTAATTGTAAGAGGTCAGCTAATGTCCTGTTCTAGCTGCATTATACATCTTAAAATGTTCAGTATTTTGCAGGAAAAAGAAAACATTTATGAAAAAGATTTCTTTTGTTGGCTAGGCAGGAAATAATCTAACAATTAGGAAGAAATAGCCACAGAAATTCTTGATTGAAAAAGGCACAAAGTGGGCAAGGATAGCAGAAGATAGAAGGGAAAATTGGTGTACATTTTGATTTCTGTGTTTTCATAACAGAAAGAAGGATATGAACAGTCTGCAAAGTTAACCATCTATTTTTCAGTACTAAACAAGGAAAGGACAAGCTGGTAAGGACCCATACTTTGGGGTACCCTGTCATCACTCTGTAGGAATTTAGTCAACAGGGGAAAAGGCAACCATTCTCCCAACCCCACTGAGTTGTGGCTATCCCTTGGTTCCACAGTCTTCTCTGGGCTAAAAGCCCTCTGATGCTTTCTACTGCCCCCTCCCCCGTAACTTAAAAACAAACAAAACACCCTGATACATTCCTTTGTTCTCTTTGGGCTTCTCTCCCACTTACTGGGAAAATGCAACTAATCACACTCATTCATAACCCAGATTTTGGGCCTTCCAGTGAGTCGACCTGGTATGCATAATCTTTCTTTACTTTCTTTAGTTAGATTTCTCATATGAATTACTTCAATCACCCGCTTTAGATGGATCCCATCTCTCACTTGCTTCCTGTTAGTGTGAAGGCACTGGTGTGAAGGAAGTAGAGAGTTGAGGTTCAATATTTGCATTTCCACTTTTAGGTACTGGTGATACACTTAACATCATCCGCACTCCAGGGGTTCCACTGATCACAGCTTACTGTATCAATGAGAAGATTTGTACAGCAGTCTTTTTATGATTCCTCGATGTCATTAAACACATTAGACTCATTCCTAAATTCAGCCCGATGTAATTCCTAGGTCAGATCTCAAACCTTTCCTGGGTGTAGCCCAGTGTGTGTCCTTGTTTTCCTGTGGGTTTTAGGGTTAGGTGGTGGTGATCTTTATTAGGTGTGAATCGAATACTTTAGAACCTTAAAATAGCTGTTTGGTAAAACAAAATTCTGCTCTTTGCAAACTCAACCTACTTGCGATCTCATCTGGGTCAAACAGTGGAGGCGGCAGCGGGCGGATGCACAGACTCCCTGTGCTGTCTCTGTCTCTTGGCTAGCTGCAGAACTAACCTCTTGGATGGGGCAGAATACCCTTCTTTGTTCATGGTATACATCTATGCTGTTGAGGAGTGAATTCAGGGTAGACTCAGAAAGATAAAGCCCTTAAACAATGCTGCCAGTAAACACCCTCTGTGCATCAACAGTAGCTTCTATTTAACTTGCCACTTTATTAACCATAATAAAAAAATAACCATTTTATTTAACCATCTTAAACATCAAAGCATAAGACATCTAGATGAATACTTTTATCTACAGGAAATGCAGTCTGAGATACAAAGGAACCCAGTCTAGTCCCAATTCTAAAATTTGTTCACTTCATCCTGAAAACTGGGAAGAGAAAACTTGCTGAAGATCTTACTTTCTTATAATTCAAGAGCACCCCTACCCTAACCTCTCCGGAGGTGGACATGGGCAGGACAGCCCTAGGAATTTTGTCTTAGAGCCAATCTCATGCAGCCTAGGCTGAACAAACTTGCCATGCAGTCCAGAATGATCTTGGATTTCAGATCTTCCTACCTCCACCTCCCCAGTACAGGATTACAGCTTGTTGGATTGCTAGTGGAATCACACTGTTAGGCCTGTTTTTATGTGATGGAGATGGTGCACAGGACTTCCTGAAGGTTGGGTAAGCACTTCTTCCTGACTAGGCTATAAACCCAGTCGAACTTCCGGACTTCCAACTGGGGGAAGAGTTTTCTAAAAGTTCCGGATTAGATTCTCTCCCTGCCCCCACCTTTCTCTCTTGTCCACTCCTCCTTTCCTGGCCACTATGAGAGGCTGTTTTTCTTTATTTTAACAAATTTGCTGAATCTGTTCCAATTTGCAATTGCTCTGTGATTCCCCAAAGTGGGAGAGTCTGGGGCAGATGTCCACGCGGTTCATTTTTGTCTCCGGAGCTCCGCCTGCGACTTCCTCTACAAGTAGCCCAGGCTGGACAACTATTTTCAGAAGTCCCCTCCTATCCTGCAGGCAGAATCAGGCACCGGGCTTTTTTTTTTTTTTTTTTTAACTGCAGTGATCTCTCCAGCAGAGAACCGCTGTAGTCTCAAGCCTTGCTCCAGCTTCCGGTGCCCTGTCCCTAGGTGCCGCCTTGTGGAGAGCTGCTGCGCCAGCGGGCGTCCAGGTGGAGTCAATGAAGCGCAGCTTGAGGAGGATTCTGCGTCCGGAGGAAAGGAAGGAGGTCCAGGGCGTTGTCTATTGCGGCGTGGGGGAAGACATGGACTGCTCCAAGGAATCCTTTAAGGTACTGGGGAATCAGTGGTTTGGGGCATGCAGGGGCATTGTGAAAGGCGGGAGGCTGGAAATTTCCTTGCGTACAGTTTTCTGCTACTTTTGCACTCAAGTTTAGGAAGTACCGAGCATGGAAATGGTAGGAGACAGTATCAGGGTATCCAGCACCTGTAACTGCTACCTGTGGTCCTCTGTTTTTCTTTCTTGTTTGCATAACTCCCGTCTTGCCAGGAAATGGATTGACGCCAGAGAAGATGTCCCCGCGAAGTACTTTTGATGTTTTACAGAACTGGAATCCAGGGACTGCATAAAGCCGGGATAAATTTGGAGTGCATGCAGTTCCTCTTCGACGTTTAACCAGATGTTTCGTTTAAACTGAAGTGGAACTGCTGCAGCTAAGGATCTGGTAGTCAGATAGCGATCCAACAAGTGTGTTGGGATGGAGAAAATTTTCTATCTAAAAGTGAAAAAGAGAGCTCAGCACATGCCTACTGGAGACAAGGAGGCAAGACCAGCAGCGAGCCCAATTGGGAACTCCGCAAGGGGAGACCTAGCGAGGATCGGAGGTCTACTTTGATGGGGGCTTCTAATTCTCAGTTCTCTGGATGTTCTGACCTATAAGAAAGTCGCACTACCAATTTGATGCAGTTGCTGCAGCTGCTCTGAAGGGCAGAGGCAGGCTATTGGACACCTAGAAAATCATTAGCCTTCAAACAGCAAGAAGAAAGGGCTCTCTTGAAATGTCTTGAAATTAACTGTGGCTTTTCAATGCCCTCTGCAAATTCTTCTCCACCAGGGAACCATGTTAACAGATCCTTATACATTTTTTTTTAAAGGAAGAAAATGCAATGCTTGTGCAAACACAAACTTTCATAGAGCTTTCTTTAACTTACAAAAATCTGAGCTTACAGAGCTCTTGCTTTAATTCCACATGAAGTAAATTATTAGAAATACTTTTCAATTCAGCACTTCGAAATTTATCTCTTTCTTTAATAACTTATTCACAGTCTTTCATGACTTATTTAACTACTTATGTACTAATACACACTTAGGTCATTTTTGTTTGTTGGATTTTCTGTTTTACTTAGCATTGATGTTTTAATCTATGACTGTAAACGTGTTCTCAGTCTGTGTGTCTAGTGTCTAGTGGTATTTTGGTCCCAACAGAGTCAAGAGTCAAGAGGTATGTATAGCTTCAGTTTTGGCAGACATTATCCAACTGTATCTAAGCAGATACCACTTCAAATGTGAGTTAGAAGCATCCTACCTCACACAAACCCATATACCCCCAGATTCCACAGCGGTGCCCATCCCACTTAAACTCAGCACATTAACCTTGGCTTTTGCTTTAGTAGGAAGAACCACATCATGAGTGAATTTCAGTATTAGGAGACTATTGTTATAATTAATGTGGGACAGAAAGAAATTTTAAGATATGAAAAAAATTCTCATGTAAGTTCAGTTTTCTAGAGATTTGTGGAAAATTTTTCTGCTATCTAGTCTGAATATTTTCTTGTAGTTTTTATTTTAGTATCTTTAGTTTCATTAAGTCAACAGATTAACTCAAGTTAATACTTTTTAAAAGTACTTTGAAATTTAACCATTCTTTGACAATATATAGTCTTTTATCTAGATTTTCTTTCCTTTTTGACCTTATTATGGTTAGACAAATTTCATTCAAACAAACTAAAACAGATGGGTCTGAAGTCTCTAATTCGAAGGGTTTAATCGAGAAATAAGTTCCCTAAAAATGATCTAGAGCCTATTGTCTTGAATATAATCACAGCGGAATTCAAGAGCTTAGAGACTACTCAAAGCAGAAAACCACTAAACAGACTAAATTTATGTGTTAATCTTCCAGAGTGTTAAATATATAAAAAAGAAAGAAATAATTAATCCACATTACAGTTCTGGAATAGCACTGATATTAAGATAAGTGTGCTTTCCAGATTTGAAAATCTGCAGCCAAGTAAAACATTTGCCTAAATTGTTTTCAAAGATTAAATAAATAAATGCTATTACAAAATCCAAAGTAAAAGTATTCTACAAGGCATTTAATTTTATCTAATAATTTCTCTATGCGCATACCAGACCTGTCTTAAGATATTTCCTTAATACCTGGTGACTTGTCAGGCTCTGGGACAGAGACAGTTTAACACCCTATATGAGTTCATGTGGCATGTTTGCAGGCTGTTTTATCACCATGAAGTCAATAGTATCTCCTGTACTTCTGAACCTAGTTCTTTCTCTAAAGAGTGTGGAGGGTTTATGTCAACTCCTTATCTCTGAACGGACTTGTACATTGCTCTTTTGGGCACTGGTGATGGGCAGTTAATATCCAACCAAAGAATGTCTCGGTCAAGCGCTAAGATGCTTTCAGACTGATTTAGTTGAGCACTTTCTTTTCCAAGGCAGGGGACTGCGTGAGGGGGGAGGGGAAGCCCTAATTCTTCAAGAAATTCAGTTTAATTACTGAATATGTGTAACTCGGAGAATGACTGGATGCCTCTGTCCTATCCTGTAGTAACTAAGGGGAACTTGGAAATGTTTTTTGGGTTAGAAAGTGGCACATTTTTGCCACTGCCAACATAAAGGAGGTTTTATTTTAAGTTCTATTCTGTGACAAGAGAAGTAAAAATCAAAGTTGGAAATTTAGAGATTTTAATTTATTGTCCTCTTGTTTAGTGAATTAATCCTAATATGCTAAATTCATCTCTGTTTTATTTGATAGATTTCTGCACAATAGTGAAAAAGATTGTAGTTTCCTTTAAAATAACAAAGCAGATTTCGAAAGCTATCTTCCATGACATGACAAAGAAGACCGGTCATAGTCATAGGAGAACTCAGACTACTCTTGATCTTTGGAGGACTATTTCTGTGGTTTGAGGAAAAATGAAAGTGTATTATGCTGCCTTGGTTCTGTGCAAAGCTATTGCCTTCTAAAGCATTTTGCCTTGGGTCTTTGTGATGAAGTAGTTATTGAGTAAAAGCCTTTTTATTGGTTACTTTATTTATTTACATTTCAGATGTTATCTCTCCTTCCAGTTTCCCCTCTGCAGCTCCCCTATGCCATCCCCTTCCACTTGCTTCTGTAAGGATGCTCCCCGACCCACCCACTCCTGCCTCAGTGCCCTAGCATCCTCCTGCACTGGGGTATCAAGCCTCCACAGGACCAAGGGCCACTCCTTCCTCTGCTACATGTGCAGCTCAGGCTATGGGTCCCTCCATGTGTACTTTTTGGTTGGTGGTTTAGACCCTGGGAGCTCTGGGGGCAGGGGGTCTTGGTTGATATTGTTGTTCTTCCTATGGGGTTGCAAACCCCTTCAGATCCTTCAGTCCTTCCCCAACTCCTCCATTGGAGTCCTTGTGCTCAGTCTGATAGTTGGTTGCGAGCATTCGCATCTGTATTGGTCAGGCTCTGGCAGAGACTCTCAGGGGACAAATATACCAGGCTCCTGTCATCAAGCACTTCTTGGCATCAACAATAGTGTCTGGGTTTGGTGTCTGCAGATGGGATGCATTCCTATTTAGAGCAGTCTCTGGATGGCCTTTCTGTCAGTCTCTGCTCTACTCTTTGTCCCTGCATTTCTTTTAGACAGGAGCAATTCTGGGTTAATATTTTTGAGATGGGTGGGTAGCCCGATCCCTCAACTGGGGACCATGCCTAACTACCTGAGGTGGTCTCTACAAGTTCTCTCTCTCCTTTCTTGGTTATTTAAGCTAATGTCATCCCTGTTGGGTCCTGGGAGCTTCTTGCTTTCCTGGCATCTGGAACTTTCTAATGGCTACCCCTAGTTCTCCATCCCCAATGCTATACACCTTTGTTCAATTTTCTGACCCTCTGTACTTCTCTCCCCTCCCATCTCCTCTCACAGCTTATCCTGACCCCCCTTTCCCTCCCCATCCTCTCTCCCTCCCAGATCCCTCCCTTTCTCTACCTCCTGTGATTGTTTTGTTTCCCCTTCTAAGTAGGATTTAAAACAACTTAGGCAAATGTTTATAATTGTTTGTTTGTAAATCTGCAAGGTACAATGTTAAATAGTTTGAATCTTGATGCTACCTCAGAACTGCCATGGACTTCCGTGAATTCTTCCTGTTTTGTGTATTTAAACTTCTAGGAAACCAAAAGGCACCAAGTAGCCTATTGTGTATAAAAGTCTGTAGGAGAAGGAAGAGTGCCTCAGCTGGCAGAATACTCACCTAGCGTGGATGTTGATCTGAATTTTAATCCTGGATGGAATAAACTTGATTGGTTGTCCACACCTGCAATTCTAGCACTGAAGAATTAGAAATGAGACAATCATAAGTTCAAGGTCAACCTTAGCCATATAGCAAATATGAGGCCCACCCTGTGGATACCTGAGACTGTCTTAAAGGCAAAAAAAAAAAAAATCTCCATGTTTCTCTATGTTCTGTGTGAAAGCTTCTTTCTTCCATTCCTCTATAGAAAAATATTACACATAGAACTATCCTGGAAAGTGAAGCATGAACATGTGTAGCAGACATTGAACACAGTGCGTAGAAGGAAAGAGAAGGAAAGACCCACAGTGTTTTTCAATGTCTTGTCTTAGAGTCCATCTGGGCTTGAGCACTTTCCTGGGAAGACCCTGCTTGTTTGAGGCACAGCTGCTGTGTGTTGGATTAGAAAGGGAAGTGGACCACTCCTAAAACCATTCCCAGGTGGGGGCTTACACTTACATATGAATACTAGGGAGATAGAAGAAGGAAGATAAGAGGTTTGGTGCCATCCTGAGCCATACAGCGAGACTGAGGCAAGCCTGGGCTATCTGACACCCCGTCTTAAAAACACAAAAGCAATCAAGTAAACAAGAGCCTTAAAACTCTCACAGCAAACATCCGCAGCCACAGTGCACATCCTGAGCCCACTCTGCACCGTGGGTGCTAGAGAGTGAGAGGCTGCGGTCCTGAGGATGTGGTCCTGTTGGAGAATGGCTTCCAGGAAGCAGCATTGGAGGGCTACAGAAGGCTGGGTGATAATACCTAGCCATTTACTTCCAAATCCATTAGTAATTCTAGATGCAACTGTGATCAGAAATCTCATCAAACAATTGGAGAGTAATTAAATACTTCTGCAATTATTGATTTTGAGACTTCTTCATTTCCTGTGTATAAGGCAATTGTTTGCAACTTTCAAATAGCTGAGCATGGAAATTGCTTATTGCCATTATGGATATTAATTGAAAATTATTTAATTAATTTTGTCAGGAATTGCTCATTTTCAAGAGTAGGGCAGCTATCTTAGATGTTTGAACAAGTCCCGTAGGGGACACTGCATCAAGATGATCCTGGCTTCAGTGAAGGGGAGGTTGGGTGGAGACTGATTTCAGACAGGAGGGACCAAAAATATTTTAGATCCTAGACTTCGTAACCTTCCCATTCAAAATACCTTCCCATCTTACTAATTTTGTCAAGTGCCTATTAACTGTACAAGATGAGGGCTTTCAGATAACATTTCTACAGATACAAGCCTTGATCATTTTCTGTCCTCTTACTTGATACTTCTTGCTCTACCTGAAATAAATACATCTCACCGAGGAAAGCAAAGGCCCCTGGCTTTTAATATATTATTTCTTAGAGCACATTTTGTGAAAGTCCTTCAAAACTTTTCAGCTTTATTTCTAAGACAGATGTAAGATAATAGGAAACAAAAACATATAGTTAATGTATTTATCAATGCATAGCTGTTTGCCTACTTTAGGTCTAATATGTGCAATGTTCTTTAAGGAGGATATTTGCTGTAAGCTCGACCATTATGAATAATAGTAAAGTGTAAGGTTTTAAGATGACTAATTTTGTATTTTGAAGTTTTACATATGCTTGTTTTAGGTAATGCACTTTACATATTCCTCTAGGTGAACATTGAAGGAGATATGTGCAGATTAGAAAACTTCATCAAGAATAGAAGAAAACTAAGCAAATATGAGGATGAAAATCTCTGTCCTCTGCATCACGCAGCAGCAGAAGGTCAAGTTGAACTGATGGAATTGATCATCAGTGGTTCTTCCTGTGAAGGTAACTGAGTGTTGCCATGAGGATTCATAACAGCATCATTCTCTTAGATTTGTGACCACCAGGAAATTTGTACCTATGGTATCAATGGTGCTTATGGGCAGACTAAATCTGAAGAGTGTGTCTGGGGAGCTGAGCTAAATTTTTGAGTTCTACTTTAGGAGATTAGGTGAAGAACATGACCAGCCATTCCAAAGAGGAATGATGTCAGTGTGAGGGAGTGATATCTGGTTACTCTGAGTTTGCATATCTTGGACACATGCATAGTCAGAACTGGAAGAAGGGCCTTGCCTAAGCAGTGGATGAGACTGAGGAAATAAATGGACATAGTTTAGGAGATCAGAGATTTCTAGTAAGAAATAGCTAAGAGGACTGACTGAGAGAGACAGATGGCAGAAGCAGAGTGGAGAGGGCAAGAGAGTGGTGGGACACAACCAGGAGAGCAGTCACTGGGGTGCTAAGTTAGGTGATCTGTTGCTACAGAAGCATCAAGCAGAAAGGAGGTCACAAGAAAGTCCTGCATTAGAAAGGCCCCGTGTTAAAGGAGATCAGTTATGAAAAGTGTTCTAGATAAAAGTTGTTTTCAAGCTGTATGCTGCTTCGTGAAGCTGTCTAATCGCTTGATGCTGAATAGAATTATTGTCTTGCTTAAACAGAATGGGAGAGAGTTAAGATGTGCATATATGCATGAGTGTGTGTGTGTGTGTGTGTGTGTGTGTGTGTGTGTGTGTTTGTTAAGCTGAGAATTAAGAACTTAGATGAATGAGAAGAACAGTGAAAGGACTTTTTGAAAGAGAGAACAGGAATCTTGGCTGCCTATGGCTCCCACTGCTTTGATGGCTCCCAAGTGTGATTCACATGCGAGTAGTTTTCTTTTTCCTCAGACTTAGTAATATATCACCAATTCTACCATATCACAGCTACTGGGCCATGAAGGATGAAGTGCACTCTATTTTAATGTAGCAATCACTAGGCAAATAACAACACATGTCATGGGGAGCACATTTTGGGCAACTGCAAGCTGAAGTAAATATAAGTCACATGGAACCTAGTTATTATCCGTTATAATGTAATTAGTCAGTTTTAATATAAAGATTAAAAGTATAGTAACAAGTGATCTGTTTTTATAGATACTATATAAAAAATTAACCCAACTTACAGGTCTGTACTTTCACATGATTTCAAATGGTGTCCATTGGGTAATTTTGAAGCAAAAACTACATCCTATTTCTATAGTCCAAGACAATATACCTGGCTTTATAAGTACTCGACACTGAGTTTTGGAGTGGGTAGCAAGAGGTATTAAGTACATCCCAAACAACATTTAATGTATATTTTGTTATTTATTTAGTGCTGAATATAATGGATAGTTATGGAAATACCCCACTGCACTGCGCTGCTGAAAAAAATCAAGTTGAAAGTGTGAAGTTTCTTCTCAGCCAAGGAGCAAATCCAAACCTCCGCAATAGAAATATGATGTCACCCCTTCACATAGCTGTGCAGGGGATGTGCAATGACGTAATCAAGGTGAGCCTGCTGGCCATGGCAATGAGGCTGGCCATGGAGCAGGGGCCAGAATCCACGTCTGATACACTTCCTGTCTCAGAGTGGCTGACTTCAGGTCCCCTGTCATGGCAAATGAAACATAACAATTACATTTATTTCTCAACAAATAATTATGGTGATGATGATGATGATGGGTAGTACTGATGAGGAAGATTGTGAAAATGATTGTCATAGTAATCACAGTTCAGCTCTTCTTGAATTTTAATTTATCTGGTATTTTTAAAAAGAGCTGTGTGCCTTTTGTAAGTTTCCATTTGAAAAGCATAAGTTAAGATGATTAGCATCTCCACTTCATAGCTGAGTAAGAAGAAGCATAGAGAGAATTAAATAACCTTTCTAAGGCTAACTACTCTTTACAGCTCCAGGCTTTGCCATTTAGTTGTCCTAGATTCTGTGACTGAAATGCAGAGGATGACTAGAATCTGAGTGAAGGCAGAACCCATAGTTAACTAACCCATGGTCAGTTTTGTCAGATGGACAGCCTCTCAAAAGACAGATCAACATCAGACACAGATCATATCGGGGAATTTTATTTTTTGTTTTTCAAAGCTTGAACTTCCTCACCTAGAAGGGTCCCTGGTAAATACTTAAAGGGTAGGTCTTATCCTATAGCTTTTAAAATACACCGCATAGATTCACAGGCACACCGGATAGTCTATCTGCTTCATCTAAGAGGAGTGGCAATTACAGATGAATTACATTCTAGAGCAGTGATTCTCAACCTGTGTTTCCCAACCCCCTTGAAATCAAGTGTTTCTTTCATAGATAGTGTATCAAATATCCTGCATTCCAGATATTTACATTATATGTCACAACAGCAGCAAAATGACAATTATGAAATAGCAACAAAATAATTGTATGGTTCAGGGTCACCACAATATGGGGAACTGTATTAAAGAGTCATAGCATTGGTAAGGTTGAGAACCACTGTTCTAGAAGGTCATTTTTAAGTTAAGCTTTTTGGAACTTGACAATAGGCTTTCCTGTGGAAATACTACTGGAAATGGTGAGCTTAGCTAATGTGCTAACCCACCCCCAAGCTAATTGTCAATAATCCCAAAAGAGAGTTCCAGGTTCTCTTTGTCACAAAAATTTATTCTCAGCTGTTGGAATAGCCTGGATTCAAGCAAATAAAGATACATGGAGTCCCTTTCATCTTGCCTTCTGTGCTTTGGGTTTGAAGTCCACCTTAATTTTTATGGAATGACACTGTCACTAAGTGTTGATATGCCCTCCTTCCCAGATAAGACAATGTTGTATATATTTATCTGAAAATTGTAGTTATTGATGCTGTCCTGATAAATGGTGGTTATTTGAATGAAATGGAACAATGATTGAGAAGGTATCAGAAAGTGTCCATGGAAACAGGCTGTTTGCCTTCTTCCTAATACCTTTGTGCACCATCATTATCATGCACCAGGCCAGGGCTTCTTCCGTCTAGGCTGCTGGATCATTAGTGCTCACAGGGACTGCTCACTGGTGTCCTGCACATCCCCAAGGAGCCCTGGTGCTTTCTCTGAAGGCTCTTTTCATCTATAAATGCTCATTAACTTAATTTATTTTGGCTTTAAAAGCATGGTTTGGGAATTTGCAGGCAGGTAGTAGTTGAAAGAACTACAGTTAATTGGAAAACTCTTTAGACCAACTATGGAAATAGCAGTTCAGAAATAAAGCTCATAACTAATTTGTGAAATCAATGTATAACAGAAGCAAAAACAACAACAAAAATCTAGTTGTCTTGAACAACAACGACAAAAAAAGAAAGAAAGAAAGAAAGAAAGAAAGAAGAAAAGACAAGGGCATGAGTAAGTTGAATTGTCTGTGCCTTATGGTCTTTGTTTTTACCAACAATAGCCATGTTATTAGTGTTCTTAAATACCACAGCTCATGACAACAGGAGGAAGAGACAGAGGTTTGCTTATAGACAGTAATTCTATCCCAGCCTACCTCTCTAGACATGCCATGATCTAGCCTCTACCTACTCAACCTTTCCCAGTTCAAAAGGCATTTTCACTGTTTGATTTACCAGTTTTCCTCTAGAATGCCCACCATTGTCTGTGGTTATAAAGTTAAAAAAATCCCTGTCATCTGAATCACCTTAAGATCTTCTATACACAATATTTTCTGGGACATTCCCTAATGGCTAGGGCACAACCTTATTTCTTGATGCTCTTTGTCCTTAGGGCTTCAGCTAGCTCAGTTGTCTGAGCCTTTCCTTAGGTTTCCTGGATTCTTATCAAAGGATCCTGGAGAGTCTTGTGGGGCTTCTGAACATGTCTGGTCATGAGTGATTTGAAGTAGTTACATGGTTTGGTTGCTTTCTCTGTGACCACTGCCGTTTAGAATTTAACTCAGCCCTCTGAAAGATTATGGTTATGACAGTACAAATACACACTGCAAATCTGTGGTCTGCAGGTAGTTCTATGAGATTGGGGAGAATGCTTGTAATAGATTCAGTGGGTTCCTTTGCGTGTGAATCTGGATTTGAAGAATAGAGCCTGAAGCTGCCTCAAGTCTGTGGAGGGATCTTCTCCTTCTAATTTCTCTTCACCTATAAAGAATTGTCCTGTCTGTCCTTCTGCATTGAACTTCAGCTCATGTTTCTCTTATGAATAGAACTCACTAGTAAGCCTAATTCATCTGCAGGCTGTCAGGTTGGAACTCTCTGTTGGAAAAAAGTTCTCCTAGGAAGCTGTTGATTATTTTGAATAAGTGGAGAAATTCAGGAAACCGCCAGGTGGATAAGCTTTAACAAATAAACAAACAAATAACAACAACAAACTCAATTCAGCTGTTAGAGCAGTGATGCATGTTTGTAATCTAGCTGCACAGAGACTAACGAAGGATTGTAAATTCATGTTTTTCTAGTATTGTTACAAAATAAAGGTAATTTGGGGCAATAAGACCCTGTATTAACATTGAGAATTAATCAACAAATAATGAAGAAGAAATGACTCAGTGGTTATACATGCTCAGCAAGCATGAGACACTAGGTTCAGTTACCAGTATTGAAAAAGAAAGACTCATGTTGATTTTATCATAGTATTATCACAAGAAGAAAGCAGCTTACCAGATGACTTCACCTATTGCCTGAGAAGAAAGTGAATTCTTTTATTCCAATCTTAATTACAAATATAAACTCTATTATATAGTATGCAGTAACTATGTTTATATTTATGTTATTATAACTATATATTATACAATGAATACAAGTTAAAGAGGCTGCAGTGAACTTCAAAAAGTTTCTAAAATGTGTGTATGTGTGTGTTTGTGTAGATAGAGTTAGAAAAACAGAGATGGACACACAGAGAGAATCTATATTAATAAGATAATGAACCAGGTCAATGTTAGGAGAAAGCTCTTGCTGAGCTAGAGTTTGTGAAGGTGAAAGCCTGAATCTTAGGCCATGAAATGGCAAGTTCCAATTAGGTCCAGATGGGCGAAAAGGTAGACAGCCACAAAGTCAGGCAGGCATCATTAGCTAGGGCCAAGCCATGCTAAGGCTTGAGGGATGGTTAGGAATCATCTGCTTGTCAATCCTTGATGCACACACCAGGTATCAGGGGCTATATTGCTGTGTGGTCATGTCATTCCAGTGTTAAGTGCCCATCATCCTGTGAGGTCCAGGGATGGGAGCTACATCCTCTACTTGGTCTGGGGTATCGGATAAGTCCTTACCTAATACAATTTAATACTCCTGTGTACCCCTATAGTCTCAATTCACCCTGATAAGATCAGCTTCCTTTCTATTCCCAGGAATAAGTAATCTATCAGTCTGTGATGGATGGGCAGTGCTGAACAGATGGAGTAGTCAATGGGCCTGATCAAGACCTATAGCTATCCTTTTCTCTCAAAAGGGAGAAAAATACTACTTGTAAAGTTGAGACACTAAAAGCAAGGAACGGTGTGAAAAATCACTATTTCACTCAATGTGGAGTAGCTTGGGGCATTGGGGAGGGTGGCCTGATGTCAACAATCACAAAAGGTACATATTGTTAACTTTTATGTGAGACTTAACCATGGTTGATGGTCTTGGCCAATAATGAGTTAGTAGTTACTGGTACCAAATGCCATGGGAATGACTAATTGACATTTAATCAGAATACTAATTTTTTTCAATTCTAAATCAAGTTTGATTTAATTTATAACAAAGGCAGGTCTATACAAAGATTCTCTACTAAAGAGATTAGGGTTTTCGATGGCATTCTGGCCAACTGTAAAGATAAAGAAGTCATTTCCCCTTTGTCTCTTCCTCTCTTCCTTTTCCCACATCTTTCCTATCTCGATCCCTTCCCTCAATCCACATATCACGATGTCTCAACACATTTATTTCTGAAGACCTCAGCTAATGTAAATCCTTGAGAGTACTACCCTTTCAGGGAAATTATTACTTACCATTGTGATTCTATCTTCAAATATACAATTCAAATTTGTAATAATTGTTGGCATGAAAATCATTCATTTATTCAATAGCTACTGTATATAAAATTTTATGACATCTTTTATGGAAGATGAATTGGAAAAGATGAGTTAGAAATGGTGTTTGGCAACCAAGTTTCCTGGGAGACATGTCACTATTTGAAAGTCAGTAGATTCGATTTTTAAGGACGATTTCTTCATTTTCTGCAGGTCTTGACTGAGCACAAGGCCACTAATATCAATTTAGAAGGAGAGAATGGGAACACAGCCTTGATATCCACGTGTGCCAAAGACAACAGTGAAGCTTTGCAAATTTTGGTTTGTAAATCACCACATTCTGTTGCTTTCTTTCTGTGAATTAGACACAAATTGTTATGTAAGCACTTCATAGTATCTCCATAGCAAAATGGAGAATACAGAAAACAGGTGGAAAGAACTTACATGGATATACTTCTAGCATTCAATGTGGACCCTAGATTGTATAAAGAAGACTAAAAATAAGCATGAAAGAAGACACAAGAAAAATATAGTCAGAGATTAAGATGAGTCTGGCATTCGGGCTAGAGTATAAAACCAAAATATAACAACCTGTATGACACCAGAACCACTTTATTCTGGAGCTGAAGAGACAGCTCAGTGGCTTAAGAGCACTTACTGTTCTTCCAGAGGACCCAGGTTTGGCTCCCACACTCACATGGTGGATTACACTCATCTGTAATCCCAGGAGATCTAATGCCCACTTCCGGTCTCTGCACACACATGGTCAGGCATGCACATGGTTCACAGACATGCATGCAGATAAAGCACCCATATACATAAAATTTAAAAAATACAATTAAGCTATTTGATTCTGAGCTTTCAAGTGGCCAAAGATTAAAAAAATAAACATTGGCAAAAACAGTTCATTTCCATTCCCAAGATCTGTTATGATTTCTCCAAGAGAGAGTTCTGAATTCCCTAGCTGTCCTAAGTCACAGGTCTGAAGTCAGAAAGCAGCCATCTCTCTGGAAAGTCACCCAGGTGTGACACACCAAGGAGGTACCTGTCTCAGGGATGGCTTCTGTTCTTGGTAGTGACGGCACTACTGTAATTTCATCAAAAAGCTCTTTTTCAAATGTTTCTGGGTTACTTGCCTTCAGAAATAAAAGCATATGCAAAACTTTCCTGATAGTTATATATGCAAATATGTATTAATATTTTGCTTTTCTGTGAATATTGGGTATTAACAACTAAGAACAATATAACACTGCAGGAAATGAAGGACTGTCAGAATATCCTAGTCTCTGAAATTTTAATATGGTGGGTCATAACCCTTAAGACTTTCCTATAAGTGATGGTATCTAAATTGTTCTAATTTACTACACTTGGTACTTGTGCCACCCATAAGCAGCTATTGTAAGCTTGAAAATATTTATACGACTTAGTCTAGTTTTAAAATTAAATATTTCATATGGAATTGAAAAAGATATGTTGATTTTGTTGGGAATTGAGGTAGATATTTTTTGTATCGTGAAATATCTTCATCTTTTAAGATGTAATGTCCCCATTGTGTTAGCCCAGTTCTGAAGTTATTTCTTGCCTAGACTGTGTGTCCACAGAGCCTTCGGCATGTTTTACCATACACTCTGGAGGATGGGATACACAGAAATTCTGGTCCACATTGTTCACTTAATTTATGTTGTTGATTTCTCTACTTTTTCTCCAGTTAGAAAAAGGAGCTAAGCTGTGTAAATCGAATAAGTGGGGAGATTACCCTGTGCACCAGGCAGCATTTTCAGGTGCCAAAAAATGCATGGAATTAATCTTAGCATATGGTGAGTTGATGCTTTCTACATTGTACGTGGTTAAGAAACCTTGAAATAACCTTCATTTGAAAATAGTAGAATTTCTACATGGACATTCATGTAATTCGACATGTCCTTTCCCTTTACAAACACATTTATTTCCATCTTAAATGATGTGTTCCTCTAAAGGTGAAAAAGACGGCTACAGCAGGCAGTCTCACATTAACTTTGTGAATCACAAGAAGGTCAGCCCTCTCCACCTTGCAGTTCAGAGCGGTGACTTGGACATGATTAAGATGTGCCTGGACAATGGTGCACACATCGACATGATGGAGGCAAGTGTTCAGTCTGTGAAGTCTCTGATGTGAGAACTTCCACACGTTATTTCTCAAATGTCATTTATATTCCTGTGAGACTGGAAATGCACATAGCGCAAAGAAGTGTTGCTCCCCTGTCCACGTGGAAGAAAATCTTCTCTAATTGTATAAATTTCAATATTCCAGAGACAAAGTAGATGCATAGTGAGTATATCCCACTCCACTGCCATGAGCTATAGTAAGGCCTAACTGCAAAGATGACAGCGTTCATATCTCCAGCCAGGACACAAAAGCCCAATTATGAGTGTCTTGGGTGGTAGTTTTAGTCTAAGACTTGTATATTTTAGCTAAGGCTCCCCTAATTTACTTCTAGTGAAATGTATATAAGAGTTTTGACTGAGCCTGGGTCCTGATTTGATGAGAAGCAAAGACTTCTGGAATGTTTCCCTATAGTGATCTAGGTCAGCCACCATAAAGGTGTTTCCTTTCAGAAGAAATCAGAAATTCCTTATTGGCTATTAATCACACGAAGCTTCTTCCTATTGCTTCCAAATTCTTTGAAATAGAAATGACCTTGCTCATATGAAGTCATTTCATTCAGCTGCTTCAGCAATGAAAGAGATTCATACTCCTTGTGCAAAGAAATATATCCAAATGATTGGGATAGAAGTGTACACCAAAAGCACTTGGGTTGCTAGGGAGTACCCTTGCTAGATAGGTCTTTATACTCATGGTTTTCAATAGATCAAAAAATACAGCTCATAATTACCTTTTACATCCTTAGATCTGGGGAGAATAAACTTACTGCTTAATTTATATATGTTAAATCCTTAAACTGGAACTTAAGCACTAATGCTGACATCAACACTCTTTATAGAATGCCAAATGCATGGCCCTCCATTTTGCTGCAACCCAGGGAGCCACTGACATCGTTAAGCTCATGATCTCATCTTATACTGGAAGCAGTGATATTGTGAATGCAGTTGATGGCAATCAGGAGACCCTGCTTCACAGGTAAGTAGCTTACATGTCAAGTATACATTGCTGGAAAAAGTCAGCCATTATGGTAGTCAAGGCTCTAGTGTTGAATCATTCTTCTCAAATTACCAGAGAGTGAAAGAATTCTTCAAAAGACGTATAGGAAATATTTTTTTTGCAATGATTAAAGGATAGCTATTATCATGAAAAGATATTCATATGCAAAACCTATACATGAAAGATAAAGAATCATACACAACTGAAAGCCATAAGACCTCAAAAGTTAATAAATGAGAGGTATCAAATTTCTAAAAACATACAAATTGATGAAGAGTTACCAAAATAAATGCCAGGTGGAAAACCATACATAATAGGAAAAATCTTGAGTCATAGATCAAAGCCACAAGCCAAATGACATCAACAGGACAAATCATAAACCAAGATTCAACAACACAAACATCCCACTTCACTTGTGAAGATACATAGAAACAAAACTGCCAAGGTTGGAAAAATGGGTCATGTAATTAAAATCCAAGCAAGCTTCCATAGTGATATGACTTTCAGATAAGTCAGGCTTGAAGTCAAACTTGAAAGGGACAAAGGTCAGAAGAGAATTAATCACTATGTTGTGTTTCAGCTAGAATTTGTAATGACCCTAAGGAATTAAAGTAAGATAGTAAATGGAACTTTACAGGACAAAGGTGCCTTGGCATATTCTGGGTCAGTCATTGATCCATTGATCCAATACTGAGGTGAGTTGGAACATTCTTTAGAATTCTTTGATTCAGTTAATTTTGACATCCAGTGGCTTCTTGTAACAGTTTTAGAATATTAATATGGCTAAGGAGCAGTTATGTTAGGAAAATAGGGCCTCCATGCCGTTTCTATTGAACTTTCTGTGACACTCAAAAGCATACTCTAAAAGTTATGTATATACAAAAGTAATTGAGGGTCCTGAACAGGAACAGTGTGGGATTCAATAGAAAACATCAAGTCTTAAATCATTAACATCTGTACAATGGTGTTTAAATCAATATTTGAAGCTTTCAGTTATTTTATTTATTCGTATTTCTGTGACTGGCCAAAGATATCCCTAAAATGACTGTAGTTCTCATTGCAGTAAGTTCAGGCTTCATAAGAGCTCAGGAAAGCTTATGTTTCCTCAATGTTTTGCTGAAGAACAGCCCAACCTATACAACCTCTCAGACCCTTTCCAGAGGCTACAGATGTATTTAGGCCCACCTTGCCTGATCCCTGCAGTCACAATGATACCTACCAGTTCTTTCAACTAGAATAGAGGCAGATGTTGCTACTCACTTCAGAATGATTTTATGGGAAAGAGTGGGCTCATGAAAACATGAGAAAGTGATTTTGTGTTGTATTTTGTTTTTCCTGATTTTTGAATATATTTGAAAATATTCTACTCAAATTTTGAGTTCTTTAACATAACATTGAGCTATTCTATGTTGTTTCTAAATACAGTATCTTTGGTTTTCATACTTATTTCAATAAAATCTTAATTCATTCTCTCTCTCTCTCTCTCTCTCTCTCTCTCTCTCTCTCTCTCTCTCT